GTGTGTGTGTGTGTGTGTGTGTGTGTGTGTGTGTATGTGACACTGTGTGTGTGTGTGTGTGTGTGACACTGTGTGTGTTGTCCTATTCGCTGTACACTTAAAAAAGCATGACTGTGCCTGACTGTTTCGTCGGACTGTCACTGACTTCTCATGAGATTGAACCCTGATAGTCTGGACAGGATGCAGGGGAGCTTGAGGTGTGTGTGTGTGTGTGTGTGACGGTGTGTGTGTGTGTGTGTGTGTGTGTGTGTTGTCCTATTCGCTGTACACTCAAAAAGCATAACTGTGCCAGACTGTTTCGTCAGACTGTGACCGACTTCTCATGAGGTTGAACCCCAACAGTCTGGCACAGTCATATGCCCGTCTGTGTGTGTGTGTGTGTGTGTGTGTGTGTGTGTGTGTGTGTGTGTGTGTGTGTGTGTGTGTGTGTGTGTTGTCATATTCCCTGTACACTCAAAAAAGCATAACCGTGCCAGACTGTACGCATTCCACGTTGCAGTAGCTGATGCAGGTCCCAGGGCTCGATCCCTAGTCCTTCCCCTTACCTGTGTACAGTATCTGTGTAGTACCCAGTCCCAGTCTCCCCTAGTCCAGTCAGCAGTACCCAGTCCCAGTCTCCCCCAGTTCAGTCAGCAAGTACCATATGGGACTGTATGCACACCGGGGCTTGGGAAACAGGGCAGACCAAGGCACAACAGTTGGTAATCATCCTGTTTCCATGCATGGTCGCGACTCGCGAATTAGATTGCAAGTCTGATTGCACCCCTGTGTGAGGAATGAGCCCTCAGATGGCGCCTTGCCGACATGCATATGTTATGGGCATAGGCCCCCAGCAAGCCTTGTGCCCGCCCTAAGTGAAGGCGGGCTAGACCTGTGACCGCCCTAAGTGAAGGCTGGTCCGAATATCCACGTACAGGCCTTTCTTTCAACATTTCTGTAAAGTGGGTATCCGACAGTTGCAGCACGCCAGTTGGTTCCCTTGTGCTATCTGCTATGGCTTTGACTACTTGGACTTCAGTGTGAATTTGCAATTTGGATTTCTGTGCTTCGTCCATATTCATGTTCCTTGCACCTGTGTGTGTGTGTGTGTGTGGTGACCCACACACACACACACACACAGACACACACACACATCATCATCACACACACACACACACACACACACACACACACACACACACACACACACACACACACACACACAGGGGCGCATGACTGTGCCAAACCGTCTGCCACACACACACACACACACACACACACACACGGGGGCGCATGACTGTGCCAAACTGTCTGCCACACACACACACACACACACACACACACACACACGGGGGCTCTACAGAGCTTTATATGCATCTCGGAGCAGTGGGGGGGTTTCCGGGACACAGGCCTATGCCCCCTGAC